GACAGAAGCCCATCCTGTGGGCCTCCTTCTGCTGCTTCCTCTGTCATGCAGGACAGTTTGGAGACAGGAGGAGTGAAGGGATCACATTTCTGCAGCTGAGAGGCAGCCGCTGCAGGGCGTCACCTCCAGGATGGGAACTTCTATCCCTTCATATCCAGCCCACTTCTTTTTTGGGGGGGGGAATATTTATCCTGCATCCAAACTGTTTCCTCTTCACATTCTGAAGATGAGTTGCATTAAATAAATAAATAAAATCCCTCACAGGAAACAGAAGCAGCTTGCATGCTGGATAAATATTTCTGTTTTTTCCCATGTGCAAGGCTTTGAGAGAGGAGGAGGAGGAGGAGGCTGGACGAGCAGAAGGTGAAAATTAAAAGAAAAGTCTGTGACGCATTTTCATTTTGGGTTCTGGTCACATTTAGTGGGCGGGACGGTGCTCATTCTTCGGGGCTAAAACACTGCTAACGTTGCATTGTAGCATGATTACTACGAAGCTGCTTTTTTTTTTTTTTTCCTAGTTGCGCTGCAAATCCGCCTCCTTCCTTCTCGCAGGAACGTCAGCGAACAGAAAGCAAACGTGCAAGAGTTCAACGTAGCCGTAAAGGAAAATAACAGGAATAGAAAAAGCTGCACAGAATACAGTATAAACACGCTCTGCTGTCTTATCTATCCGTGCAAATGGCAGGGTAAGGAAGGAAAAAAAAAAAAAAAAAAGCCTGGATAGCTTCTTCTTGATCGCAACTTCCCACCTCCCCCCCGGAAAATAACTAAGCAGAGAAGAGAAAGCTTGTCTCTTTTTTTTTCTCTTTTTTTTTTCGTTGCAGCAACACGAGAGTAATAATGAGACATGAGCCGTACCAACCGTGTGAACAGGCTGTTTTGATGGGGAGATTCCTCACTTTCTATCAGATGCAAGCCGCCATATTCGCTGCAGCTCCGCGCATGTCCACCACGCAGTGCTGTAATTCATATTTTTCCGCTGGAGGTAAAAAAAAAAAAAAAANCCCAGGATGGATCATATTTATTAATACTACAAGTACAAAAAAAATCATTAGAGGAAACAATCCAAACAAAAGGCCTCTTAATGATTAGATACCTGTTTGAAGCAGGTCGGTGACGCTGCAATGGAGGACGTTTCTCTCAGATATTCTTCCCAGCTGAAGGGTTCTAGCAAACAAAGATAAAAGAAGTGAAGTGCCAATTACGTAGACACCGATCTATTGTTGGAAAGTGTGAGAGAAAAAACTGTAAAGTGACAAACATAAACAAGCGCTAAAAACAACACATTATAATTACAGACTTGAAAAAAATTGAAAAAAAAAACCACTTAATTATCAGCTTATTTTAGTAAATGAAAATTAATCTGCTTGGTTGTACAAGAGAGTGCACCTAAATAGAAAGAACATTTGCCCATTTTGTGCTTGTTTATGCACAGCTGAGGAGACATACAGCAATAAATGTCTGCACAAAAGAGGATGATCTGAGTAAACAATGAGTGGAAATGTTCATCATCAACTTGCAAAAACCTTCTGAACTCTTTTCTTAACCTGAGAAGCCAAAATAGGTTGTTGATCACTGCAAGTAGCGACACGAAAGTGACTGAATTCTAGAAAAGCTACTAATTCAAAAGGCTTTATACTGTTAATGAAAGGATCAACAATGAAGAGCGACAAGGCAGAGATGTGAATAGCCAACCGTTGGATTTGTCGAGGGCAGAGCCCGCTGTGATGCTGCTTCGTCTCTCCTTCTTCTCCTCTTTTTGATCTGAAATCAAAACGGCGATTGAACCGCTCATCAGAATTCAGCGGCTTCTGATACACAGACTACAATCACTGTTAGAATGAAGGTGGTGAAATACGCGCTGGAACAGTTCTGAGAAAATGAGTCTCAAACACCAAAAAAACATCTAATTAAGTTGAGGGCAACACGAGTGAGGATTTTGATCTTTTTTTCTTTGCGACGTGTTTGATTTGTGATCAAATTGCCTATTAGTACATCTGAGAATCGGGAGAAGCAGGATAACGGGTTTACCTCTGTGTGGCGTTCGGCCCATGATGACTGCTGCAGGTGAAGTCAGGTAGGCAGGGACCTAAACAGACACTAGAGACAACACAGGTCATCCACAATCTGCTGTTTTTCATCATACAGACGAGCACAACATCATTATTTTCCACATCCAGTGGAATCTATGCAACATCTGAATCTCCACATATGGAAGAATTCCAACCGTACTCCTGCACATTTCTTGATATTTATATTTTCTACTGATGTTTCCTACACACATCACTTTTGCTGCTGTAACTGCACACTTCCCCACTGTGGGATTAATCTTATCTAAATCTTATCTTGTTCAAACCAAATGCACAAACCTAATGTGATCTTTTAACAATGCAGCCAAGTTTTGTTGAAGTTTTATTTCAGTACGTAAACAAAGTTATGACCATCTTTAAGTTCAGCATTGTGATTGTTTTTCCCCTCACATCACTGCTTCCTGTGCAGGAGAATTTAGCTTTAACTGTTAGTTTATAAGGCACTGAATAGACTGAAGTCAAAATACTGATTTCTGATCAGCTGCCACATTATCAACCATCTAGTTCTCTCATATCATCCAGGTCAGACTTCAGCCAGCACTGACTAACGTTACCTTCAAGTTCCAATAATGTTTTAAGGAAAACATTTTAATCTAAAGTTCAAAAAATGTTCTAAGGATTTTTATCATTTCAAATAATGTTCCTTTGAGGTGTCGTTTCAAACAATGTTCCTTTGTGGTGAAAAGTGAACGAAGACAAAACGATTCAACCATCAGAGGATGTTTGGAGGATGTTGCCAGATTATGTTACATGATAACAAACAAGGAAACACAAACCAACATTAAAAAAATGTTGAAAAGATGTTATCAAGGCCTCAGACGACAGAATATGCTTTTAGAAAACATTCCTGTAATATGACATGTTTACAAGGGTAGAACATTTTGGTGAGAACATTTTGTTTCTGTCAAGAACGTTCCGACAAAACGTTCCCACAATTTTCAATGCAACATTTGGAAAATTTAAAACCAAACCAACAAACCAAAAAAAAACACCTATTTGGTATATTTGGAGAACTTTTTCCTTTCTTTAAAAAGAACTTTCCAGGAACTAAAAGTAAAGTTCCTGCTGAAAACATTATTAGAACATTGCAGAACTGAAACTAATTCTAGCAGGGCACATGTTAACTTCACGCCTGTGAACTAAATCTGAAATATTTATATACTGCACTCCTCTCTAACATTATGTTCCTGTTTAATCTTTTTTTTTTTTTAATCATATTTTAGCCTTTTTTTTTTGTATTTTAATATTTTCATTTACTGTTTTTTGTCTGAGATTTCTTTTGCATGTTAATCTCTTCATGCCTTTTGAACTGCTTTGCTGTTGCTTGGTCTTTCTTGTATTGCGGTGATATTTTTCTGTCAAGAAATCCCATAAAAACACCAAAAATCAGCAATAACTCGATCTTACTCGCCCTGTGCAGCAAAACTCTGACAACCTGCTGTTGTTCAGCCGACACCTAATAAAGCACAACGATCCACACGGCTGCACCGGCTGACATGTTCCTTCATTAGCATTAACACACACACACGACAGTTTACTTTGAGTCAATCCTTCTTACACCAGCTTGATGCTGCTGCACACATCCGACCAAATGTGTATTAATCCACGGCTAAAAATAGTCCCACACAAACACAAGATTCACTGCTGTCTGAATGACATTTGCAGAGCCTCCAGTGCTGCAGCAGCTGTTTTAGAAAATGACTGTTTTAAATTAAGTTAAATATATCTGTGATGTACCAAAGATTTTTTTTTAATCTGGAAAAGGAACAAAGGAACTCAGGCAGGTAGAGAAAGTAGTAAAGAATTATTTTGTTTTGAGATTCTTTAGTGGAATTTGTATACTGCAAGAAAAATTAAATGATCTCACAATCATCCTCAAAATACTCTGTCTTGTTGCAGTTTGTTTACTTCAGGTTTAACTGTGATATTTTTTTTAAAAATTATATTTTTTTGGACTTTCTAAGCAGAATATTTAAACTGAGACTCACAACTTGCGTATAACCAGATTGCAAAAGTCAAAGGACGCAGAAGATTCCAATAAAATGGTTATAGTTTGTGTTATTATAGGTTCTTATTAACGTTTGTGGTCTAAATGATTGAACGAACAGCTTTGCTATGTTTATAACATTTAGTTCTGTTTCACTAACAAGTATAAATGAGATCAAATTTGTTACCACACTGTTCATGCAGAAAATCTGACCCAACATTCCTCATCAGGTTTACCAAACTCATCAGCATAGTCCCGCTCCCTGCAAAGCCTGCACATAGCGACGGCTCAAAACGAAGCAGAAAAACAATCCACAGCATCTGAAAAAGCCACACATTCCAAATAAAATCCAAGAAAATCACAGGTTAAAACCTTCCCAGAAGCCAGACAATGTCTCCTTCCCTTGTGCTGCCAAAGTTTTTAGCATCTGCAGAGTATTGTGGCCGTCCCTCCCTCCGGAGACCCTTCTGTCTCTGCAATGAATCCCATTGAGTCAGAAGGAGCCATAAAGATTCCAAGCTGCCATAAAAAGCCATTAAGACGTGTGGATGTGAGACGTCTGCTGGCCGACATGAAAAGGATTCCAGCTCGGCTCGTCGCTTTGCTGCAGACCGACTCAGTGTTTGCACTGGTTTGTCCACCTCACTCAAGAGGGTCAGACAAAACTGCCCTGCAGACCAGGAAGCACTTAATTTTTACAACCTCCATTTCCACCAAAGCAGCCACTGATCTGGGATTAGCATAATGTTCACAAACCTGAACACCGAGACCATCTGAAAAATGGCCTGGTGTCAGCAGAAGCTGTAATTCTGGCTCGACAGGAGGAGCTGTCAAAGTGTCAAACTTTACTCAGCTGCTTTGTTAAAACTGCAGAAACTTTCAAAACAGCAATGTAAAAAAATACATTTCGACTATACTATTTGACTTTTTTCAAGGTATGATTATACTGATTATATTAAATACTGTTATTTCACTGTGTAGCTTCACAAACTTAACCTAAAGTTATATTAAAGATGTGTGACACTTACTAGAGCTGTAACTAATGATACATTTTAAGGCTAAATAATTATTCTGTCAGCTATTTTTACAATTAACAAGTTGTGTTTATGTTAAAAAAAACCTAAAAAAGAAGTTTCCAGAGCCAAGTATGACAAAAAACAGTCAACTATATTCAACATACAACGAATTAAACGGAAAATACAGCAAATCTGAATATTAACTAGCACGTTTAGCAATTTCACTTCATAAATGAATGAAATGATAACTGATTATCAAAATTGCAGTTGATTGTTTTCTGTTAATCAGAAATCAATGGATCGGCTCAGTGTTTTAACCCTCACTGACAAAATTATGTTGTGTCAACGTAAAAGTAGGAAAAGCTTCATTTGTAACGTGATGATTACATCTACAAAACCAGATGATCTTTCTGTGCAACTAAATAAGTTAAAATGATAAACAGAAAGAAGTTGTTGTTTTTTTTTAAATGAGCCAAAAGAATATTTTGACCCACATTTTTGGAAAGGATTCAAAAGAATTATTCAAGTATGAACACAATCAAAAGGAAAGGTCGACTATGTTTTTGGATCAGAAATAAGAACAATCTACAAAAACAAATGTCAGGTATCGTTGCAGCTGCTTATTTTCATCATTTTTATTAACTGATTGATTCTTTTGGTGATAAAATGTTAGAAAACAAAGAAAAACACCAATCAAAGCTTTGGATGGCCCATCGCCATGTTGTGAAATTATCAGTTTTGTACGACCAGTAAGTTTAAAAAAACAAATGTATTCACAGATTTTGTTCACTCTCACTTAACATTGGTAATTTTATAACCCCAACCGCCACACAGTGAGAGGCAGCGTCTGCAAAATGAGGCTGTGCCACTTCAATTTATGACACTGCAAACAGAATACTTTACAATTTATGGAGCAAAAAGTTGTAATAAGCAGAATAATCGATTATTATAACAGATGCCGATCTCAGCAAATCCTCATTACTCAGGACCTGCTATTATGTGCTTAAAAATGACAAAAGACTCATCATTAATCAAACTAAGTCATTTAAAACAGAGAAAAATTGCAAATTCATGCATCTGAGGGACTGTACGCTACAAGTATTTCACATTTTTGCTTCATAAATAACAATCAACTATAAAGTCAATCTCTAAAGTGTTGGAGTGACTATAAATGTTCAAGTTTTCCCTCTTTTGTACAACCCACAAGTTTAAAATCCAAATATATTCACAGATTCAGTTTGCTATCACATAAAGTATGGAACTATCCAACCTCAAATGCTACATATTTACAGGTAGCCTCTTCAATACGAGGCTGTGCTGCTTTTTTCTTAGATTTTTTTTTCGACTGCAAACTGAATATTGTACAATTTTTAGACCAAAAAATGTTATTAATCAAGAGAACATTCAGCAGAATAATCAACTATAAAAATAGACACAGTTATAAGAAAAAACATTTTTTTCAGATTCATTTTTTAAATCAATCTAACAGAGAGAGAAAACAGAGGCAAGCAGAGAAAGAGAAACTGTAAGCTGCTAATATTTGGCACTTTTTGCTTCATAAATAACGATCAGCTAATAAATTCAGCTCTAACTGACGCCGTGCAAAGTGTTGGAGTGATTTGAAATGTGCAAGTTTATCCTCCCGCACATCATTTCCTCTTTTGTACGACCAGCAAGTTCAAAACTCAAATATATTCACAGATTCAGTTTACTATCACGTAAAGTATGGGACTTTTCAACCTCAAAAGCCACATATATACGAAACTGTGCGGCTTTTTTTCTTTGATATATTAGACTGCAAACTGAATATTATAAAGC